TTACTCATAAAACTAATCACACACAAAACCACTGAACCATCTCGCACAAAGCAAACAATTTTTACAATTTTATCTAACGATCGTCAATGTGTTTCATTGACCCCTTGTTCACGGAATAGAGTGGGACGACAACGTTGGTGGAACCGCATAAGGTTCGTTTCTCGGCTGGGAAGTTTGGGTGTTCGAGTTGTAAGAGGCGAATGTTAAAACCTATAAGTTTATCTAATCAAGTATCTATTTATCTAAATCTATTCTTCTGTTCTTTATTTCTGCTATCTCGATATCGTCCGTTCTGGTGGTTTTCAATAGTTTTTCAATTGTTAATTGAGCTTCTGCTGCAGATTGCTTGTGGTTTAAGTGATTGTTTAATTTGTTCCATTCATGTGCGCCGCACATGCAATAAAATTCTAAAACCCTAAAGTTCCGAAGTTGTTTTTGAGATTCTAACGAGTAAATTTTTTGTACTACACAGACTGACCTCATTAGAGTTGCTGCGTGCCTAGAGGCGAGACGACACGAATTAGGTATACACGTATATAATAAGGTAAAAGTTATGAAAACTCGAAGTTATTAAAAGCACAGTTCACGATAATTCAATGGGCGGGCACGTCAATGGCTTTCCCGCCTCTCGATCGATGTCACGTCATCACGTCAGACGAGTGTCGAGACAATACAGATTGCAACTATTCGTTCTAGGACCCACACACAGTCAGCTGGTCGCCGAGTGATGAGGCGGTATTTTTCTCCCATTCTTTTTCCCTCTGTTATTCTTTTTGCTGCCGCGATCCCTTATTTAATTTCCTACTCCCAAGGCTGAAGAGGCGAGCTACTTTTGCTGTTTCTAGGGTTTTCTTGTTTACTTATGCTTATAAGTGAATGAGTTTTTGCTCACCATAGTCTGTTATTCGTACCAGGACCCACACGTACGCAGTGAGACACATTGTATAGCTCGTCCGAACGTCTCACTCTTCTTCATTTCCTGGTCTCATTCTCTTCCAGCCCCCTTTTTAACAGTTTTTTGAAGCCTTTTTTCACTTTGGAAACACCGATTCACGCAGTTTCATCGCACTATTTACGACCTTGTCTTCCATTTTCATCATAATATGGATTACCCAAAATTATCGTGAACTGTGCCTTTAAACTAATCCCATCTCACTGAATGAGTAGAGAGTAAGTAAATGAAGGGCATAGCAAAACTAGAGAACTAGTGTTCAGTGAAACGTTTGTTTAACCAAAGAGGTTGCACTATTGAAAGGGAGTTTCACTACCGTGCACAGCATACACACTCATAAGATTGGTCATAAAAATTCTATTTAAGTACATTGATGAAAACGTTAGTATGTGAAGGATCTTCTTTCGAAAACGATTAAAACTTCGAATAAATCCAGACGGTTGTATTTGCTACAGGTACGGTTTCTCACTAAGACGGTGAATGTACCGCAATGAACTTCAAATGCCCGGAAATTATTTTATAAAATTCGCGTGTTTTGTTCCCAGCTTAGTAAGCAGAACAGAAAAAAGACGTCTATCGGAATGCCCGCCCATTTGGGATGCACTTGGTTTATCAATTCCTTTATGAGGCTTCTTTGATAAAACATCAACAAGTTAAATGTTTTTTGGAAAGGTAAATGCTCCTCAACATTTCCATCTGAAGTACGCTATGTTTTACCGGGTTAGAGATGGCGTGAGCTGGTATGAAAGTGAAGAATCATGGAGAGCACTTTTGACGCCTAACTTTTTGACACACCTTTTTCTACCACATAAGCAAGAGAGCAGCTCAAACTGAAAGAATATAGACAATGCTCTACGGAAACACACCGGGATGGCACAGTGTGATTGGCTTGCAAAATTTAGAAAAAGTGAAAAGATAACAAAGTTTGGCTACGTTAGTGGAGACCATCCTCAGATGTCAAGATGATAACGACATCAGGATCTCAATCGAAACGAATTGGCGCAAAACTACTTATGAAGTAGCCGAGAGGCTCACGGTGTCAATTTCGATTATTTACGATCATTTGGTCATACTTGGTTTTGTAAGCCGCCTAGATGTTTAGGTGCCTCACAAATTGAGCCGGTGCAACCTCTCAAACCGCCCTCCCGTGTGCGACTCATTGCTTGAACATAAAGAAAATCCCCAGCCTTTCCCGAAACGTATGGTGAAATTACATAAGAAATGGGTGAGCACGACGTGGAGCGGAAACAAATGCCATGTAATCGCAATGAACCGCAACTAACCACTCTTAAAACGAAATTCATGTGCTGAATGTGCTCCTTTGCTGGTAGGACTGAGAGGGAATTGCTGTTGTAAGCTGTTACAGCTCCCGCAAAAGGATCCCATTTGAAAGATACTGTACTTAGCTGCATAAGTCGAAAGCAGAATAGTACAGAAGCGTCCAGAAGTAGCCAATTGTAAGGGTGGGGTCTCTCAACAGGCCAACGCCAGACCGGTATCTTTGACCACTCGTTCAAAAATACTGGTCAAGACATGATGTCCTACCGCATCCTTATATAGTGCAGACATAGCACCACCAGACCATTTGTTCAGATCATCGTGGAACTCCTTTCATGGAAAATTCTTCGATTTTGCGGGGGACTGCAAGAAGCAAAAATAACCGGTTTCAATTCAAAGTCTAGAGCCTTCAAAGAAAGGGGGACAATGAAACTCCTAGAAAGATGAGACTAGGGAGACTAGAGACTATTGCAAAGCCAAATGAAGCATACAATGTATAGTAGGCGGATTTGCTCGGTGAGGACTTTTTACCCATAGCCACCCTCCAAGAACAACGCACTACTCCCTGGTGCCTAAGCTATGGACCCAAAAGAGCTGAGCATCACTGCTCAAACGCTTCCTGTTGGAACGAATATACTCAACCAGTCACAATCGCATGGATGCACATGGGTTTCCAGTATACAGGCAAGGCTTGACACAATATCTAATTCCCATATAGAGCACTACCTCTCATATTCTCGATGATCTCGTCTCATGATGCTGAGTTTCACCCAAATCTTGAGAGATCTAGCAAAGACGTGAAAAATAAATCGCCAAATGGCGTTCTGTGACTTTCTATCGGCAACCATCGTTAACCTATTTTCCATCGCTATTGCATGAGTTACCTGAAAACAGGTGGTAATGGGTAGTACTGTGGAAACGGGGATGTATGAAGCAAACGGCTAATTCGTTTCGTTTTATATTTCACCAGTCAGATCCCCGCGCTGACATCGGGTGCTCCTTCTTTTGACGTAAATGATCTGTCGTTTGTGTCTCATCCAAATTTGGACTCTCTGGTAGAATAACCAGGAGGTGGAAATCTTCGGCTAAACACGCACACACGCCCGACACACTTCGTGAGCGCCTCGCTCACCATGAGCGAAGTTCTGTTCAACTCATGTGCGTTTGAAGGAATCGATCCATTTCCTTTTTTCATATTGATAACTGAGATACACTGAGATTACGCTCATTTTACGCATGGTCCTGCCCCTTCTTCCTTACCATGCCACCTCCCATAAGTATTCCCATCATGTCTATTGTACTCCTCCAAATCCGATCGTTCAAAACTTGAATTAACATTTTTTGCGCAAGTGTCACTCCCGATCCGACACAGCACACAAATACGCACATACACACATATACACACATTCCGCGTACTGTATAAGTAAGAAATTTCACCTGCACGACAATCAATCTTTCAACCGGTTTTGCAGCTCTTATTACGCCCTGTCCAGGCCATTTTTCTGCCCCAAAACGATCCATCCACTACATGTTCTTGAGGGCCACATTCATTCTAGCGGCAGATCTCAATCCACTTCATCGTGAACAGTGCCTTCAGAGTCATGATCTTAGCATCCTTTTCATTTGTTCACATTTCAGTCGTTGAAAAGGAAATGTAACTAGTTTTCAAAACAGTTTGCTTAGGATACTTTTTCCAGTTCCTACTCCTACTATCCGAACCATTTGCTTACCTCTTACTAGCTTAATGACGATATGTAGGCAGTATAATGACCTCCGAGTCACTTATTTAAGGTCGCCTCGCACCGATAGGCAGGCGGATCAGTTAGAATAATTAAGCACTTTGTTTTAGAAAAAAAATGTTTTCGATTTGTGAATTCAACTCACTGGGAACGCTTTGGACCATGATGGAAAATGAAAGCCATGATAATGCTTCATACGTGTAATTGGGACACGAAACAAAGTTGAAGAGCAGGCTCATCGGATTCCCGTCGGGATAAGGAATACGCCGTTCGCGAGTCCCTGGAGGACGAAGGTTGCGAAGCAGGATATGAATCGAAAGATTTCCTGGAATACAGTAAAGCCTGATTCACAAATCGAAAAACCAATAATCGGAATATATTTCTTCGATATACAGATATGATATATGGTAATGATAATGCGTTTCATAGGTAACAGATAACCTCAGATATTTGCAAGTGGAATGAGTAGGTGTGCGTTTCTAACACGACTGGCTAATCGCTCACCGTGAATAACTCTAGCATACAATTTTGGGGTTGATGTTGACCTTGCTTTGAGTTGATGTCTTGTCAATTGCTCTTATTTCAATGCAGTACGCGATACGAATGTCGCACAAGGATGTGACAATCCCCAGATTCCTTATTTCAACGCAATGTCGGAAAGCTTTTGAGGTACTGGATACAAAGCTTCGAAGCACTTCGCTGCCATTCCAGGACTCAGTGGTTGCCTGCTTCTCTCCTACAGCGGCTCCGTCACCGTAAGGGCCAATCCGACCAGACTTGGCTGAATGAGCTGGTACTGCTCGTGATGGCCCCTAGAATTCTCTTGTTGATGGTAAAGCCCTGCGCCCCAGCAGCACCTGCAGACACCAGGTTCTGAAAATTCCTTCAAATGGGTAAAACCTGTACCACACCAAATCAAATTGGTGTTTTTTCCAAAAGACAGTTGTCGACCTCGAGGCATAATGATTCTTGAATGTGAATTGTATTTATACACTCTTTCCTATAGATACCTCCTCAAGCTCAAATAAATTCGATTAAAATTGTTCAGGATGAACTTTGATTTCTGAAATCTGAAATGGTCATAGGAAAAACCAGGAGCAGGAAATTGTAAAAAAAATTTTAAGGTAAAAGATGGTGCAGCCAAAGTTCATATAAGGGAACTATTCAAGATCGGGAATTTGCTAGTGCTGAAAACATCGCCGTTCCGGTGCTGGTTCCAGAAATGAACATTCGAGGGTTCATTATACTTATGAAGCGCTCCGTATATTTATACATACTGTTAAAAAGTCAGATCTAGTCATTGAGAAAATTCATAAGAAAATCCTACCGAATTCAGAAATTGCGAATCCAATAAGGCCCAAGTACACCTGCTTGTCACCGAAGTATGGAGGAGTATACGCGGGATGGTTGACAAAATAAGCAACAAATGCAGCAAATCCCCAATAATATGAACAATTCTGTAATTGGAACTCTTTTTAAGTTAGTTGACTAAGCACAGGCTCATGTCTAAAGATCGATTAGTGTCGGTCTAGGGATTTCTTGACGGTGAAGACATCTCTGTATAAAAACGTACTTTTCGGACAGGAGTTCGCTACCGAAAGATGGCTTTGTTGGATGCTTTCAGATCCAACGACGTGGGTTTTTTCAACCGACGACCGGCCGAGTTACTGGCCACGCAATGACATCACTGAACACTGATCGGTACCGCTCACGCGGCCTCGAATGTAATCTTCACTGTATTGTCAACACGTGGCCAGTAACGCGGCCAGTTGATCGGTCGCTGGTTGAGACAACGCATGTCGTTGAACTCTGAAAACACCCATCGATGAAAAGATCTTGAAAAGTATGACATAATAAGATAGAGACGCTTCAAAAAGAGCCAATCTTTCAATGAAATAATGGGAAAGTGTCTATAATCTACGAAAGAGTGAAACGAACCTTCACAAGATTGAATCGAGGCATGGTTCCATTACTGAAACGATGAATGAACTGAGTTTCAAATAAACGTTTAATGTAGTGGATTGACCAACAAATGAATGCGCAGGTAACGGCAAAGTGATACGGTTTCTTTGATGAACCTGCACATCAGCTCTTACATCATAATTCCAAGTAAGTTACGGTTGAATTGTCAAAACAAAGAAAAAATCAGCAGCTACTCTAAACTTGTTGTTAATTTGAAAAAAAGAAACCACCATAAATGAACTCCGGGCGATAGTAGAACACTGGATAAATGAGAAGCGGTCCAGCATACTCAAGAAGAAACACCTGCAAGCTACAGTATTTGACAAACTCCAGTATTAATAGTCCTAGCCCGGCAATATCATGCCTTTTGTAATCTGCATTAACGAACAGTAGGCAGTTTAAATGAGTGATACAGGTAGAAAAGATGCTTCATTGAGAAAAGGAGCCCTTAGAATGCGTTCGCGTGGATATGTAAAAAAAAAGAGCAGCCACGTAAACAAAGCAAAGATTCTCGGCATCCGAATCTTCCTCGGATTTTTGCTCGTATAGGTGCATTGTATCATGGCAATACAATACTTAAAGTAACATTTGCGGGGCGATTTTTGAAGCGAGCAGCGATTCTTTCGAGTAGGGAAAACGGTGCTTTATCATCGGATTTTTTGTTGCTTGAATCACGTAAGAATAATAATAAGAAGTGAAGTGAGGAACAAGATTTTAGAGAATTACCGTCTTCCAAGGCACCTGCGGCCCGAGATCTCGAACAAAAAGGTGCGCATTCTGGGCAGCCAAACCAAGTTCCACAATCCGTTTTTCGTCCGGGGCTGCTTTACCTTTCGGTTCAATACGCAGTGACTGACGTTCGACGGTCAATGCAAGCTCTTAAGAATAGTTATCTTGTCAATGATATTTAACGATTACGACATGTTCAAGTGAAAAAGTACTAAAACTACTTCTCTGCCTAGATTACGGCGGCTGGCATTGAATAGTTGGTGTTGAAAACAAAGAAAGAACATACTCTTCTGGGCGATTCTTTTCTTTATGGCGAGAATTGTTTCATCACCAGTCAAGTTATCAAGAATGATAATGGAGCGAGTGGGCTCCTTTGCATCGAACACCTCAAGATTGAAGCCTCCCATATTCGCCTAGAAGAATTCAATCCTTCACCATGCGCTACAACCCCATTCAAAGTCATAAACAGTAGAGATACATGACGGAACATCTCGTGCGGGAGAAAATCGATTCAAACAAAATAACCATCAGCGATCAGTACCTGTTGAAGAGCTGATGGGCGGTCGTAAAACCACAAACGCGAAATTGCACAATGCTTACGATAAGGACAGTAAACAACGAGCTTATCCCAGGGGGGACGGTTGGGGGACGGTACGAACGTGCGTCCGAGGGTGCGCGCGGCAAATTGCGCGGCGAAACCCATACCTATTCTGACGACTTTAGCGCCTATTATTTGGGCTCAATTTCGAAGTACAGTAGATAGTAGCTGACCTTACTAATCCCATGGGTGCGCGGTAATTTTTTCAAAACATACGAAAGATTCGTGATAGGGCGTATGTCGTATGGCGTGATGAGCGGTGTCGTGCCGCCCATTTGAGGCGGTTTGCGGGGTGGACAACTCGTTCAGATCGGGAACCCTCTGTCTGTCCNACCACCATCTGTTCTACATGTGAACAGAGGGGGAATTTACAATTAATCGGGGATGGAGTCCTGACTCGACAGAGTTTAGTCATTTAAAGGCACAGTTCGCGATAATTCAATGGACGGGAGCGTCAATGGCTTTCCCGCCTCTCGATCGATGCCAAGTCATCACGTCAGACGGCAGGCGGTCGTTCTGCGCGATGAGCGGTGTCGTGCCGCCCATTTGAGGCGGTTTGCGGGGTGGACAACTCGTTCAGATCGGGAACCCTCTGTCTGTCCTCTCCAGCTGATAGAAGTGGTCAATAAAGCCGCTCGTGTTCATGTCTTTAGACAACTAGTGCTGTAGAGTTCGCAGGGGCAAGGCTTCAAATTTAAGCTGCCCACCTTCTCCGGTCACTTCTTTCTTTCAGTTTTTTTTTTGGCAACGTTCAAGCACTCCTTTGTCGACTTATCAATCCAAGGAACTCTATCAAGTGTAAAAGCAAATATTTGCCAATAATCATTAACTCTTCTTTTGATAATTGAAATAAAACCATGCAACTTCCTTTCTTTGATTAAGACATATATATATATATATTTTCTCTCAAAGAATGATCGATCACAAAGTCAATGAATGGTAGTGCAGGTAGTTGTATGTAATGCGATAAAACAGTGTTGAGTATACCAAAACAACAACACTTGTCCAGAGGGTCTGAACGAGTTGTCTACCCCGCAAAAAGCCTCAAATGGGCGGCTCGGTTCCGCCCATCACGCCAAACGACTGCCTCCCCTGTGAATTGAGAGCTGCCGATAATCCCACATACATACATGTGGTGATCCCGAGCACCGAGGCGATTGAATTAGATGTGGCTTGCGATGTGGATTAGACAGTTTTTTCACTTCCAACTAGATTAATGAGGATGTTTAGGAACTCAACGAACTCTTAGTCTTCACTCCCTAATCAGGGTCGCACCTATGTGCGGAGAAACTCTAATTAGTTCGATATGATCGTAGTTCGAGAGGCTGGCCGATTTGGACGAAATGGTCGACGTAGAAATTGCGCTGTATGGGTGGCAACTGAAGCCTATGCGCCCCAATGGCAAGGTGGCTGCGAAGGGCCGCGCCAAACGACCACACCTCCCGAACAGTTGGAAAAATTAGTCGTGATGTTGTGAAAGTCGTCCGTAGTACACAATTACGAGTTATCACTTACGAAGCATGCCGCTACTAGATGAATGGACACAGTAAGGTAACACTGTCGGTGAAGATGCCATTACCTATTATTATATGACGATTCTGCTCTTCAAAAAATGTCACACCGAATGCAGCAGGGCGAGGGCTGTGATATGAAAATCAGCAGCAGGTTAATTCAGAATTTGAGGTTTATACTTATATTCTACTTTGACCACTTCATCAAGTTCGCATCTTCTTCCCTCCAGTGCTGCAAGGAGAGATATTTCCGTTATTTGCGCATTATAGACTTCTTAGTTTTGTTATTTTCTCGCCCGCGTTCCACTTATGTTTGAACCACCGATGGCGAGAAAATAATTTTGGTAATGAAGGGCTTTGAATCTACAGCTTGAGAAAGCCATCGAGAAGATCTTTATCATATGTTTAGTTGTGCGTCGCTATCTCATTCTGGTGCCGAGTTCATAAGTGGAGTTGTTGAAGGTATGTTTTCCTGTTTTGCACGAGAGGTGATCAGCAGTTTCTTATGCTGGAAGTAAGGAACTTCTTTTCACATCTTCTTTTATTAATATGGACGCGAATTTAGTTGAGCTTGCCAACCGAATTCCTTATAATAAAGAAGTTATTTCAGGATTCTATGGAAGGCCATGGACTTTCGAGCAGAGAAAACAGTTGTTTGCTAGGCTTAACCGGCTTGGGATGAATACATACGTCTACGCTCCAAAAGATGACCTTAAACATCGTCCGCAATGGAGAGTGCCATATGATTGTGAAGAAGCAGGTTATCTTAACGGTCTCTATCTCCTGACATCTTTGAGATCTTAGGATATGCAAAGTTCTTGCGATTTGCATCTCTGAAAGCAAATGAACCGCCAGTGACTTCCATGTTTGCCTTTCTTTAAACCTGGGCATCTGTACTATTATTCGTCAATGCTTCTGTGCCATACAGGTTTTTTAATGGTGGAATACTTTTGTACACTACTGTACTGTGCACAAAGAGCTGTGGTTTACCAGCTTCAGTGTTTAACATGTGATGCTTGCTATATTGGAGAAACTGGGAGACAGTTATGCGTTCGTGTGAAAGAACATTTAGCAAGCAAACGAAGGTCTTGCTCGATTGCACCGCTTGGGAAGCACAGAAGAGAAGGTCATGCTGGTTGTGACTTTGACGTTAAATGCACGATTTTGGCCTACGAGGACAGTATTGGTGCCAGAAAAACTCTCGAGGCTTTCTGGATAAGACACCGAAATCCGGGCTTGAATAACAAGAATGAGTGCATC